AATACAAATTTTGAATTTAATATAATATAATATAATATTATTGAATTTAATTTAATTTAATTTAAAATAATATTATTTAATTTAATACAATTTTGAATTTAATATAATATATATTATTTAAATTAATTAATTTAATATAATATAATATTATGAGGCAATCTTGAAAATTACTTGTTATATCCCACAATATATTTTTAAAACAAACATGCATAACATATATCCAATCTTATATATCAAGTCAACAAACATGACTTGGGGGATATACTATCCGATACCTACATCCTATTCATTATATATCCTGACTAAATCTCACATCATATTATATTCTCAATTTTATATCCAGTGAAACAAAAGGACTATAAAGTTTAAAAAAATCCAATCATTGTGGTCCCAACCTAAAAACAAAATTTTACTATTTTAAATCAGTTTTGTATTTTTTTATATTTTTTTTTAACGAATGTTAAAATTCAAAGATAATAAAATGTCAATTGTCAAATAAAAATAGTGAAAAGAAAAAAAAAACTAATCCAAGTATCTCAAAATTAACCATCAAAGTACTGTCAGCTAACAATTCATGAATAAAAATTCAATATACTAGTCATTAATTATTGACATGTGATATGATTATTCAATACAAATTTCATGTAAACATATTACTATACAAATGTGATAACTGCTAGCTTTTGTTTCAAATCAGTTACTTATATCTAAATTCGTTATTAACCAGCCCTATGGTGCTTAACTTAAGCGTTGCTTGGCAACTCCCATAAAAGTCTACTTATTTATCTTTGTTTTTTTTTTTAATCACATTATCTTTTTATTTCTTTATATAATTTATAAAAAATTAAAGTATATACTTATTTAGTACTTTCTAAACAAGCTCTTACTATTGCAACCATTTATTTATTTTTCTCTCCTATTGTTTATTGAGTGATATCATGGTGTCACTTCAAATTTTCAAACTAAATTTTGTCATCTGAACAAAAATTAACCATCAACCTGACATGGGTACTAATTTTGAAGCCATGCTAACAACCAAAATGTGAAAACTAACGCGAAAAAAAAAAAAAAAAAATGGATTGAAGCAAACAAGCTAAATAGTTAGGGGCAAAATTATTACAGGAAAAAAAAAAGGCCAAGGTAAAATGATTTCCTCGTACTACACGTATCAAGAGCATACAAGTCTAAAAATGTAATTCTGAAATTTACAGTGGGCAAAAGACAAAAAACACCCCCAATTTTGTCAACTAGTTTTCACGTGAACCCGACAAAGCTCACAGCAAAGGCTGTCAAACGATGCGATTTACGAAAGCAAAACAAGAAGAACCCAAACAGACTCTACACAGACAATAACACAGAAACAAGATAATTAAGGGCAACATTGGAAACCAAAAAGTGGTCACCCTACCCGGACAAGGCGACGATGCAGACGAAGAATCGGCCTTTTCGAACTGCAGAGAATCGACGGCGAGAGGCATGTTCTCCTGGTCTGGGCTGCACTTGGTCTCGTGAGGTGGGTGCGCACTGTACATGACGGCGCGTAGAACAGCCGAAACCGTCGGTATGTACGCCGTCTTGTTCCGCGCTAAGAGCCACGTCAACCCCATGAGCTGGCAGTCCCCCTTGCTGAACATCTTGCTCGCTCGGTCACTACCACCGACTTCTTCGCTTCCGTTTTTGCCCTCGCCTTTTAACTGTAATTACACCAAGGGCATTTTCGTCAATTTCGATTGTAGAAAGACGAAAGAGGAAAGGGTGTGCTGAGAGTGGATTCAGTGACAAACCCATTTGTATGGGTTTACAAGGATATGGGCATTGGGCAATGATGCATCATCATCTGATAAAGTTGTCATTTTCTTTAGGGTAAAAAAAGTGTTTTTGGTAAAAGACTGAAAGCTAAACTGACTTTGGCCTTGCTTCATTTGAAGTCCTTTTGCATATCTCATGGCCCATGTGCAAGTGCCACTATAACCAGAAAATAATCATAACATTGTAAATGACAATAAAGCCCACACTAATCTTTGGTATTTTACATGGCGTAACACAAAAGTGCAACACACATGATTTTCTAAAGTATTATAGAGATTCATGGACATTTTCCTGTCTGAATTCACTTCCCTTTCCTATTTAAAAAAAAAAAATACTTGTTCTTTTTTTTTAGCATTGTTATTTAAATTTAAAACTGACTTATTTTCAAACTTAATAATGTGACAATCAATTAAAATATCTAAGACAACACTTTCCCTCATATTTTTTCTATTCATCAACTAATTATGTTATTTTCACATCATTAGATTTAATAAATAAACTTTTATATCAAATTTTTTATTTATTTTGTAATTTCAATTTCGATCACCTAGTTGATATGTGAGTGAATATTAACTCATACTATTTAAATTTAAGAATAAAAAGACACTTAGTTTTTTTTTTGTTTTGAGTAAATTACAAATACGCTATCGAGATTTGTTTAAATTACAAATTATTTGTAATTTAAAAAGTTATAATTATAATTTTTTATTTAACAGAATTAACTAAAAAAATGAAGGATTCATATAACCGACCCATTTGATGGGACTTAGGGTTGGTTTGGGAAGTGTGTTGACTTTTTGACTTTTTTAACTATTTTAGCCTGGGCTAAAAAGCCTAGTTTGGGAAGGATTTTTTTGACTTTTTTGACTTTTTTTATGAGAGAATAGTGTAATGATTATGGGTTGAATGTGATGTTTTGTCTTTTGTGGCTAAAATAGTCTATTTTGTCTTTTATGACTAAAATAGCCAAAAAAAATCCATAATTTTCTTCCCAAACGGTGCCTTAAGGTTTGGTTTGGTTTAACTAAAAAACTGAAATTCATAAATGTTCTCCAATACAATAATGAAATTACTTAAATTATTAATTAAAATATATTTGTAATATTATTGTTAAGTAACTTGATAATTTATTAATAAAATTAACGATTTATTATGAAATTAAAAACTTCAATTAAAAACTTCAAGAATAGAATGTAGTATTTTATTTTTATTTTTTTTCCGCAATTACCAAATTATCCATGAGTTTAAAATTCATTGAATAACTGCGCAATTTTTCTTTTTAAAAAAAAAGCCAAGGGTATTTTCGTAAAAACACAAGATTAGCCGGAAAATATACCTTTTGTAGAGCTCCGAGGCACTTAGTACAACCGGCGTAGGACGAGTTCCGGCAATTACGCTCGAGATTTCTAACAGCCGCCGTAGGTGTTGCATTCCGATTGGCTGTGACGTTGAACGCAGCTGGGCAGCTCAGAGAAGTTATCTGGTGCAGCCGAATTCCACAGAAGCACAAAACGGCGTCGCAGGAAGCGTTAGGCTGAGGAATATTGATGTTTCGACTCTGCAGCGAGCTCTGAAGCGAGTTCACACACTTCTGCGAGTCGTCCGGCATCATCGGAAGGTCGGAAGACGCCGGAGGAACCGCCGCCGAGACCTGTAGAGCCGAGCGAGCGTGCGCCGCGAACAGCCACGCTGCGAGAACCGGGCAACATCGGCTCCGGTCGAGGTTCCGGCTACAGGCGTCCTTCACGCCGCCGAATAGCTCTGCAGAGAGGTCAAGCCGGCACGTCGGCGTCAGCGTTTGGACCGGAAACGCAGGGACCGTGTTCGGGGTCGAATAGTCTCCCGGTTTGAGAGGTTGAGCCGGTTCGACAAGAAAACCGGCGAGTGATCGATGGAAGAGAAATAACGTGAAAACGAAAGGCATCATCGATTTCGCCATTTTAGTGTGGATTCACAACGTGTAAATGTTGAAGGAATTTGAAGAATGTCTGAGATTTTGGTGCTCACGTGTTACTTGTTTCGCTGCAAATGTTACTAGTACAAGCAAATAGAAAGCTTTCAGTGACTCAGCAAAAAATGAACAAGGAAAGTCGAAAGCTTCAGGGAAGAAAAAGGAAGGAAAAGATGTGGAGAAATTGCTTGCAACTTGGGAAAGGGCACAGAAAACTCCTTTTTTTTTTTGGCAAGAAAATCTGATTTGGAAGCTTTTGTGTTTGAAGAAGATGACTAATAGATGAAGAAGAATTTGAAACCTGAAGTGAGGAAGAAGAGTTTCTCCGTGCAGAGAAGTGGAAAAAGCGGAGGACTGTGAAGGATGTGTCTCGATTTAAGGTTATAATAGGTCCAAATTTTGATCAACTGCTTTTTTAGAGTAGATAAAACAAACAACGAATTTCATCTATGCTAGTTTCATGTGGGTTGAATTTAAATAAATAAAAATAAAATAAATATTTAATATATATGGTTTGTTAATTAAGTGTGGGGCCGAGAATTGGAAGTCGTAAAGATTCTGAATAGTCGAATTTGAGAGAGTCGAGATTCGAAGCACTCAGCAACTGGCTCGAAAGCTCAAATCCAACCCTACTCGGCCAAATAACCGATTAATCAAGGGGTCGAGTGAAGATCGGTCTATTATAAAATGTGTCGAATATGAGGTGAGGATCTAATCCCGAAGCCCAAAGAAGAAAAGATATAAATAGAAGAAACATCAGCCAGAATGAGGTATGTGAGAATTGTTGTGCTAAACTTAGAATACAAGCATTCTTGAGCGTTGAGACTGACTTGTCTGTCGGAGTGTTAATTCTGGCACCCCCGACCGGAGTGTTTATTCCTTTGCAAATGACTAGAACAGAATCACGAGCGTTCCCTAGTATCAAAATAGTATTTCCAAACCACTTCTCCACATTAAGCTTGTTTGGTTTCAGTGTTCAGAATTTTTTTTTATTTTTTGTATTTTAATATTTTCAATGAATTTTTTTAATATTTTAAGTAATTTTTTTTTAAATTTTTAGAAACACCTAACATAAACACACTTAAAAAGTATAATATTTGTGAAAAAAATCTTTAAAAAATATACTAAATACCAAAAAATACAAAAAAAAAATACGAAAATTTAGTACATTTTCATATATTTTGTGTATTTATTAATTTTTTAAAATATTTTTTCACAAATATTTTATTATTTACATATATCTAAATAAAGTGCATCTAAAAAGTTAAAAAAAATATTTAAAATTTAAAAAATATTCATTAAAAACAAAAAAATACGAAAAATAAAAAACTCAATTTTCAAAAAACTGAATTCAAAAAACTGATATCAAACACACTAAGTCCTTTTTTTTTTCTTTTTTTTCTTTTTTTAAGGCTTCATTTGGCTAAAAGATTTGAGTTGAACTAGTCACTAAAAAATAAAATAAGATAAGAGGTTAACAAGACAAAATATCACATATAAATCAAAATTATTTTATTTTTTTTACACAAAAGTAAAAAAAAAATTATCCAAATGAACTTTTTAATCTCAAGTCAAAAAAGTTCCGACTCAAAAAAATCAACTAAATTTTTTTTCCAAACGTGATTTAGTTTAAAAAAAAGGAAAATTTGCTACTTATTGTTGATTTTTTTGACTTTCGAATGTTATTATTGTAATTACGAGCGTGCCAGCAAAGATCAATCAGTCCGTACAGAAAATTAATTGCCAACCAATTATCAGACGATTATGTTTTAGTTCTTTCAACCTCAATGAAGAGGACTTTTACTAGTGGCTTGATTTAGGAGAATTAAGTAAAATAATAATTAAATGAAGAACAGTTGAAGTATTTCATTAAAGACGAAAAACTTACAATAATCCAAACTTAGCCGCATAGAGGTTTACAGCAGCAATTTACTTGAAACTACTCCTATGAATGAAGTGCAGTGCAGGAATTTAAAGTACAGGAAATGTAAGACTGGAAATATAAAACTGGAAAGGAAAATAAGTATAATAAGACTGGTTTTTGGATCTAAGTCTGAGGGCTTTTTCTGGGGCCTTCTCTGCTATTTATACTGCTCAAGGATGACCATCGAACTGCATTTCTAACCGTCGAACTGCTCCTCCATAATCGCTGACCATGTTGCCTCAAGATTAGCTCCATTACGCCATTACTTGTAGTTAGGCTTCCCTCATAAATTTGAATTTGAAATGTGAGTAACTGTTGAAGCCACATCACCTTGCATCTCTTTGTTGATCCACTGCTACTCAGATCTTGTAATAACCAATACTAACTGCCACGTGTACGATCAGGATCGAAGACTTGAATAATCTTCCTATATTATCCTTATTTTGTCACGCGTCGAATTGTAATTGGCTTATACAAAATATGTAGTCAACATTAACCCCAGCACTAATATACCCAATACTTGGTGATATTAGTGAATCAAGGTCTTTTTCCCACGTCTTAGTCTCAAGTGGTATGCTCCAAAAAGAAGGACTTCATGGACTTGGTATGGTCCTTCCCAGTTAGGTGACCATTTGCCAAACTTATGGCTTTTAATCCCTATTGGGAGTATGGTTTTCCACACCAAATCACCTTCATCAAAGCTAAATGTGTTTGACTTTTTTATTATAATTTTTGGTTGCCTTTTTCTTTTGAAAAAGAATGCTATTTAATGCCAGAATTCTAGCTCCATCTATACTTTCTAATCCTAAGCACATACTCTGATGGTATTGCTCAGGATTTAACTGGTCTTAGCATTTTACCCTCAAGGACTTAACATTAATTTCCACAAGTAACACTGCATCATGCCCATATGCTAAGGCATAAAGAGTGACTCCTGTGCTTGACCTTGGGGAAGTTCTATAAGCTCACAATACATCCAACAACAAGTTGTGAGTTATGTCAATCCCTAGTATTGTCCTCCACAACTTTTTGTATTCCTTTTTTCAAGGACTTATTGGATGATTCAGCTTCACTATTGGCTTGTGCATAATAAGGGGTGGAATTAACAAAGCTAATTCCAAATTTTGCCACAAAAGACTTTACCATTTTCCCATCGAACACAGTCTCATTATCAATAGTTATAGTCTGTGGGATACCAAATCTGTGGATTAAATCCTTAATGAATCCAATAACCTCAGTTTGGTCTACAGTCTTGAATGGTTTAGTTTCGACCCATTTAGTGAAGTAATCAGTGGCCACTAAGATGAAACAATGATGCTTCGAAGAAGGTGGGTGCATTATTCCCATCATATCCATGGCCCATCCTCTAAATGGCCAAGGCTTTACTACTGCATGCAGGTCAGTTATGGGCACATGCCTGATCGTGCCATGCTTTTGACATGCCTGGCAACCCCTTGCATATTTTATGCAGTCTTTAAGGATAGTTGGCCAATAGTAAGAATGCCTTCGAAGCAACCACCCCATCTTCACACCAAGCTGATAAGCAGCACAGACGCCCTCATGAACCTCAGCCATAGCTGTCGATGCTTCTTTTGAGCCTAAACATTCCAGTAATAAACCATCCCCCCCTCTTTTGTAGAGAGCATTACTGTATATGATGTATTGCATAGATTGCAATTTAATTTTTCTGCTGGCCTTCGAAGATGGGCCAGCCAAGTATTGCATTATTAGATGCCTCTAATCTTGTTCTTGTAAGTCATTATGATTGACTTCTAGGACCACATTCCTTTTATTTAAAGGTGGTATTGATTTCTGGTATGTTGTTTGGCTTATGTCCCTTTGAGTATTATCTCTTCTCTTGAAATTCGAAACTTTCTGAGCCACATCATTAGCTCTATTATTCAAGAATCTTGGGACATGAGTTACATTTGCTATTTAAAATCGAGAAGGTGGCAAGTGGCGGCGGAAGACGGTGG